ATGCCATGAACCAAAACTAATTGAAATTAAATGTTCTTTTAAGCACAAAAATATTGCTGTTGAGAAAATACCTTACATAGATCCCAAATATCATTTAGAACTAGTTGATGAAACTTTGCATTTAAAGCAGACTTCCCCATGGTACAGCCAGATACAATTCCAGTTAGGTGTGACAGGTATAGCATCTTGTGATTTAGTTGTGTACACACTAGATTGTAACTTTTTGTTTGGTGGTGTCATCACCTCACGGTGACCTGCTACGATAACAAACCGGAATTTTCACAGTTGCACCTTAAAACAATGAACCAGTTACCCTGAACACGATGAATCATCTTCGGAAGACAATGAGTGTTGGCCTGTTTTGTAAACAATTCTTTGTCTGGGACCATGCAGGGCGCACAGGAAATATAACAGGGCGCCAATTTCAGATAACAGGGCGCAGCGCCCTGTAAAAACCCCTCGTGGAGAACCCTGGGTGTATAATGAATATTTAAAATTTGAACATAATCAGCAAAAGCAAGTCAGAGATATGGCACTAAAAACACATTCATTAAAACAAAATGACCACTAGTCGGCCATTTTGAAATGTCTATTGTATATACCAAGCTTGAACAAAATCCATCTGTAAATGCTTGATTTTGATGATTTGTTAGCACAAAAATGGCCGCCATTCGGCTATCTTGAATTAGATCATGAAACAAATTGATGTGGATATATATGTATAATATCATGTAAGATGTATGTGTGAAGTTTGATTGTGATTGGTCCAGCAATTTCTAAGATACAGGCCCGGATGCACGCACGGAGGTCAAAACATAAGTCCTCGTTTTCAGACTGCATCCGTACGGGGACTAATTAAAAGAAGTGAACAATGGTTTACACTGTAGCAAGCAAAACAAACTAGAGCTTCTGTACAAGGGCATGAGATCAGTAACAGGTTGACGTCTTTATGCACAGAATATTAACGCTGAATAACCAGGCCATGTTTGAACTTCGTTCTACGAATAAACTATGCAACCATGTGATTTTTTTTTTTGTTTGGGGGAAAACTAAAACTGGTCTAAATTTCAAATAAGAATAAGTTGGGAATTTTTGGGGAAGTCAACAAAAATACTGAAATCTGGCAAACAACCAAGCACACATTTTTAGAGAGGTCGAAATTTTACAATTTCTACGGTAGATAACAATTTCATTCACTAGTCTTGTGTTACTAGTATAACATTCAGAAGAACGCCATGTCTGAACTAGTTTTTAAAAATTTTACGGTGCTTGTCACGCTGAGGTGTCAGATTCCAGATAAATATTTTTCAAGTTTAACTATTTGTGTAAAAAAATATTTATCGACAACATAAATACATTTTTTTTAACAATGGAATAAAAACATTAAATGAATACTTAGCTTTTCACTGCTTGAATGACATGATTGCAAGTGTTGCGTGTCGAGTACAGACAGTAATACAAAATGTGATTTTGTGAGCTAAGAATTACCCTGGGCACTGAGTCGAATAAGCACGGTAATACAAAAATATTGCCATATTCACTTAAATCTGTTAAATGTTTTATCAACCAGATAGTAGTGATCAACCTTACCAGGTGATTCCTGTAACTTCACCATCTGTTTGTCACTGAAATGTGATCTATTATGGACGAGTCCCATACTATGTTGAGTGCTGCAGTGACGACAGACACTGGGTTCAGCAATACGACCGCGGTCAATCTCCACTGTCTGAGTGAAAGAACACACATAACATTTGAAGAAAGCCTCTCGCATTTCCGGCATCAGTTGAGACAATCTAATCACCATACCACTGATAGTTATAAGTTGATCAATATCTAAGAAGAAAGCAATAACGAAAATAAAATTAATTGAATTTATACCATGTCTTCACTTTCATATAAGTGCAATAAATGGTTTGAATAGCAATAACTTGTGAATTTTGTGTTCTATGAAGCTTGTATCGACAGTTTTCACTTGTATGGCCCCTTACTGCTATACATTGAGTTGTTCAGCATGTTCACTCAAATACGACTACAGTGAAGTGAAAAATTATTTATTATTCTAGCATACAAGTGAAACACATGCCATGTTAACACTGACAACGACCATACCTTCAGGATTTAGTGACCTCATATTTTTGGTCAAATCTGCACTGAATGTCCGGACTTGAATTTGATGGTCAAGCTGGACATCAGGAAACTGTTCAAAGAACATCTCATTGACTGCCATGTCAAAGGTTGGGATAACTTCTTGAGGGTAACAGACTAACTGACGATAAAGTTCAGCATCAAACCTTTTCAAATGTGAACAATTCACATTCAGGAAAGGAAGTTCAAGCTGGCTGATCTAGAGGAAGAAAACACAAAACAGAAGTTCAGATTGACTCTCCCAGTTGAGGGGCTGAAGAATTCACAAGTGGCTCCAATATGGCAAATATAATGGGCAGTTCAGAATTCTATAGTAGGGATCAAATATTTACTGAACAGAAAAATCACAGCCTTCAAAATGTCCATTAACTTCGAGTTCATTAAACCTCCGGATACCGAAGTAAATATTTGTCATCTGCACAACTTTCCATATTTTGTACAATAAAGTACCTGCAGTGTTCTCCCAGAAAATTTGCATACAGTATCAGCCAATTTACATAACAATATGTTTGAATGTCTTGTATTCATTGTTATGCTAAATTGGTTCTATTGTTTATCCAAAACTCAACAGCTGGGAACCCTACTCTATAATGCCCTGGGGAGAACAAAAATTGATTTCATTTGATCTAAAAGTTAAAATGAAGGAATATGCATTAAATGCTGAAAACCTCCAGGGAAACAATGGTCATTTTAAATACAACATTATGGGAAACAGCCATCTGTAACATAAAAGTAAAAATAGCCATACTTGATAAAACATCCAGGGAAACAAAGCCCTACCTCTTCCAATCTTTGCATATATGCAGGTTGGGTTGGATCAAATCCTTCAAGCTCATCAGCATCTTCATCAATATATGTCTGGACAAATTTCTTGAATTTCTCCTGGGCCTCACTAACAACTATATCAGTACCCCAAATCACCATTCGAGGCCCAGCAGCTTGGTCACTGGTTACCACGACAGCAGGATCAGAACCATCACCACCACCGACCTTTGAGAAGATTAATATTGTTTATTTTTGTGATAGTTGTAGAACATAAGATTGTCGATACTGATTTAAGCGCATCAACTACTAACCAAAGTTGAATTTACAAATAGCATAAATTTCTTGGATGTTTATTTCCGAATCCAAATACCAAATACATAACATTACCCATATTCATGATAATTGCATGCATCCAATTTGTGTCTGAACGACAATTCATTTTTCTAGCTGTCTAGATGCATATATTTTAATCTATGTATATTCGAACAGAAATCATTTTGGCTAACCATTATAACATACAACTGCTCGTATTTAGGCATTGTGCTACATCATTGCTCTATACATCATGGCTTTTGCAATCTATTGGCCCTAAATCTGCTTTGGCAAACATTTGTGTTGTCAAAATAAATGCATGATAATACAAACAAACCCAAAGCTCTACACATGAATAATGTACTTCTATTAAAGCAAAGACAGCATTTAAAATATAACTGCACGTAATGATCAGGGTGGTTTAGCTATGGTTTAACAATTATAAATATTTAATGCAATAATGACCATATATAATATATTTTGGTATACATCTTGTCAGATAACAAAGTTGCATGTCCCTATCTGCAACAATTCAAAATATTACTGTAACAGTTATTTTAATTTTGCTTATTTCGATGACTAGAAAATGTGCTAAATTAAAACCCAGTGAATATGTAAAATTGAGCATAGAACACATTACCTAAATGATAAAAGCGTAATTTTAACCCACTGAATATACATGAAATGATAAATCAGTGAAATTTAAACCTAGTGAAAATTAGTCATTTTACACTTAGTCATATCATAACCAACCAAAAACTAATTAGGGTTGCGCAATATCCCAGAGTGTCTATGTGCCAAGTTTCGATGAATTCTGTTGAATAGTACACGAGAAACAAGTGAAAATGCTTAAAGTAGGTTAATTAAAATGCATATAAGGCGATTAATATGGACAATTTTTTTACCCAAAACTAATTAGCTCTGTGTATAGTCTAATCATCTATATAGTCTAGTCATCTATGTACCAAGTTTCATTTAAATGTAATGATTAGTGCTTGAAACATCAGTGGAAAAGCTGAAAATTGACTAATCATTAAGCAAATTAGGTAATTAGTATGCACAAATTTGCACACAAAACTAATCAGATCATTGGAAAAGCCAAGGAGCAACATTAGCATTAGCCGAGAGCATCTGTGCATCAAGTTTCATCAAAAACCAACATAAGGTTCTTGAGATATCAGTGGAACACCCACACCCACACACCATCTGCAAAAACTCCCAATTGTGTGATTCACAGAACCGGTTATATCACAGATTAAACGTGCTTACAGTATATCATTAACAATAATGAATTTCCCACAGTGCCATATTGGATTTGATTGCTCATCCAATATGTTGCTGCGAGTGGCTCTTTATTGTTATATTATCATTACTAACCGATGGCTCTGATACAAGGTTCACCTGTCTCATCTTCCTCTCACTGCGAATGTCACTCCTAACCCTGATAGGTGTACCACCGCTGTAGACACATTTAGGAAGCGAACATATTTAGAAAATTTACATGCATATCACATTTCCTGCAAATTTAAATGATAATTCTGGACCAATTGCCTTCATGAATTTTGTGCAAGGCTATTTGATGTTTGACAACAAAATTATGCCTATGTTATAACTATGATGTAATGTTTTGTGTGATGTCACTATTCATAACACTATAGAGGTTGGCAGAGTGTATGGCCTATATATAATAAGCAATTTAGGCAGGGAATCCCCCCCAAGATAAAATTGTAGGTTAGCATAGTAGTTCCATGATGATTTCCCCAATTCTTGATAAAACAAAGTGAAATGTACACTATCTTGTTTATAAACACATGGACAATGCAACTATGTTGAAGTTGTGGTGCAAAACATGTTCCATAAAGAGAAAACTGACAATAACTGACAAAGTAACAATTCTGTTCAATTCAGCTGTCATTCTGCATTTTTAAAATTTCAGCCATATTTCTACTACTTAATTAGGCCAAAAAAAAAACAACAACTTATGTTGCCCTCAAGTCGAAAAATTGAACAAGCAGCCTATCGGCTGAGATAGCTCCGCTGTTAGCAATGCACATTTCAATTAAAGAACTGAAGACATCATTAGAAAATGAACAATATGTATAGTATCAAAGCAATCGGACTTGCAGTTTTTAACAAGAAGTCGAAAATATCACTTTTTACCAAAAATGACAAAAATATTCACCAAAATTATAGAATCGAAGATATCACGAAATGAACAAATCTGAGAAAGGTCCACATGTAGTATCTAAATATGTAATATCAAAGCAATTGAACTATTGGTTTTTAACAAGAAGTCGAAAATATCACTTTTTACCAAAAATTACAAAAATATTCACCAAAATTAGAGAATTGAAGACATCATCACAAAATGAACAAATCTGAGAGAGGTCCACATGTAGTACCTATATATGTAATATCAAAGCAATCGGACTTGTGGTTTTTAACAAGAAGTCGAAAATATCATTTTTTACCAAAAATAACAAAAATATTCACCAAAATTAGAGAATTGAAGATATCAACATGAAATGAACAAACCTAAGAGAGGTCTACCCAAGGTACATATACACCAAGTATCAAAGCATTCAGGCTTGTAGTTTTCAAGAAGAAGTC